CGTATTTATGTTTCTGGCCCAGCTGGTAGTCAGGTTTATGTTTGGCTGAATGCCAAATAAGCTCTAAACAGTTCTGTATCATGTTGAACCCAAGTACTCTCATCCCCCTCTGATATAAAGATTTATATAGTAGCAGGGTGCTCACCGATCTATCAGATTACGGAAAATATTTGTCCCGTTGTGCCTTGAAGCTTGATTGAGAGTGATAGCAGGCAGTCGCCTAGCGACCTTAGACATTTGACGGAGTGGAACCGACAAAAGCTAGGACGACTGGAATGGCCATTTCTGGCTTACGAGCAGTCATCAGCCACTTATACATGCCTCATCCAGGTGTGGATCAACCGGGATTCAAACCTGGGAGCTTTGGTCATTGAATTTAACACTCTACCATTGCACAACGAGCTCATTGCTTTTTCGGTTGCTGTCTGAATTCACTATGCGATTGCCTGCGTTCACTCTAGAACGAGCCTCAGGGCCCAACGGGACAAGTATGTTCCACAATCAGATAGATCGGATGAGCAGCCTACTTCCATCATATTCCCCATCGCAACCACTCAATATATAAAATAATGCATAAATATTTACATTAAAGTAGTCCCATTTCCTTATAACCGACACATCAAATTGTCATTGATATTTGCGCTGCTTTTTTAGCCACATTTCCCTATTATTACTACCTACTGTAATTATAATAGTACATAGGACGCACTTAGTGTAAGAAACTCTAATATAGTCACTTCGCAGTAATAACTATCTACTGCCATGATAGTAATGCCAAGGACACAATAAATGTAAAATTATCTAATATACTCACATTTACTTTGCCATCGGATGGAGAAAATGCGTCACGTCTGGTAAAAACTGGAAGCTGAATAGATATAGTGTAATAATTTAAAGGCATTTGGTTACCTTGTCAACAATATCCTATCGTCTGGTTCTGCCACCATACCGGTCTCTCGCCCCTAAGAACTAGTCAATGATGATTGTTCTTAGTGCATCTCCGGTGCACGTACTGTAGGAGGCGATATGATACGGAAAAATGCACCATACGACCGTTACACGTTTTGTGAATATCTACTGCAGTGGAAGTATGTTGGTAGAGATCCATATATAATGGAGAGCTTTGAGCTAAAAGGATATCTCCACGCAAAGGCATATGAACGGAGATATAAGCATGGTAGAGTAAAGCAAACCTGAAGCCTTTTTTTGAAAAAAAACGAGGAAAACGTGTTGACCAGACTTAAAACGTGCAAGAATAACGTGGATACAGAAATTGAAGTTCATAAGTAAAAAACATGTATAAAAGCAGTTCTCAACTTCATTTCTGGATATATATATATATTGTTATGCCTAAAGATTCAGGGTCCAGATATGTTATCGAATGCATCGTC